AGAGAGAGAGAGAGAGAGAGAGAGAGAGAGAGAGAGAGAGAGAGAGGAGTCTTAGAACAATCTCAATCTCCAAAGAGAAAAATAAATCATTGACCCTGAGCTAAGAAAGGGCAGGAGAATACTGAAAGTGAAGGAAGAAGGAAGAGGGAGGAGAGAAGCCAAGAAATGTGGCTTTCAGCTCAGGAAATTTCTCGGTGTCTTTCAACAATGATGAATACGTTGGGTTCCTGATGAAGCATTCTTGTTAGAAGGTAGCCAGAAGCTACCTATTTTACTACCTGTAGTTTAATTTTCCTAAACACAGTTACATTACAGGAAACACTTTTCTTTTTTTTTCCTCCAAGACAATTTAACATTTCTCCAGTGCTGTCATATGCGACTCTAGTAACAACTTAGCAATTAAGCCAAGGACCTTTCAACCTAAGAACCTTAACCCACTCTCCCAGAAAATAATCAAGGTTGAAATGAAGGTCAAACACTAAAAGGGAAAAAAAACATGAAATTTCTCTTTAAAAATTAAAGAAAGGTTAGTAGAAACACCACTGCCCTAAGTTTGGTTATAAATGTAAGGTAATGAACTCACTTTTCTAATAGTTCTATTGCATTCTACATACTATATCTATTATATTGTGAGGCCAATTATTTTCTCATTAAAATTTTAGCTACATTCTTTGTAATGAGAGTCCAGAAAACACCCCTCTTCTGAGATGTTCCCCAAGCCTTAGGTACAAGGCTTGTGTTAGAGCTATACCAACCGAGCTTGGACATCCCACTACCAGTTGCTTTCTGAATTTTGACAAGTTGTGTATTTCTGTAATGGTCTTATAAATTATTCAAAAAGAAGCTCTTGGATGAGGGGTGAAAGGTAATTTACCTGTAGATATAAGCCTAACTTTTTAGAATAAAGTTAGAAATTGTGCTGGTTTAGGAAAAGAGCAGTAATGGTTTATCCTCTTGGGACCATGACCTCACCAGACATGGACAGTTAGACATTTGCACTATGAGGCATGAGTTCCCATCTACTGAGTAGGGCTAGAGTCCATTTAGACAGTTATGGTAAGATACAAGTGCTACTATTGGATTCTTGAACTATCTATCCATGCCAGCCATTGTAGTTTTACAGCTGGGGAGGACTATTGACTGCTTTTGTCTACTGGTACTTTTCACAGCACCTTCAGATACTATGAAAGTTTGTCTTTGGGGAGGAAGTTTCCAGGTCAGTTCCAGCTCAGTTCCTCCAAGTCTGAAGTGTGTAGTGTCTTCAGCAATAGGATCTTACTTTAAGTTCTGGGAGGCAATCAAGGGCAATAGTAATAGACTATATTTGAAGGCAATGGGGGGGTGTCTCTTGGATGCCCTTGACAAAACACCTCAAAGGGCAGTTTCCCATGTCTGGGTGTTTGTTAATCTATAGCTCTTAGAGGGAGGGGAAATTATCACCCAAGTGATGTAACTTCATTAAACATGCATCTCTCTCTCTCTCTCTCTCTCTCTCTCTCTCTCTCTCTCTCTCTCTGTGTGTGTGTGTGTGTGTGTGTGTGTGTATGTGTGTGTTGTGTGTGTCAATGTATGTATGAGAGAGAGAGAGAAAGAGAGAGAGAGAGAGAGAGAGAGAGAGAGAGAGAGAGAGCCATACACACATGCATGTTTAAGTTAACATTCATTGTAAGAGCCAGAGAACCAGGACATATGCTGTACACTATCATCTTCAATATATGAAAAGGAAGCTATAGCTATGAAATCTCAACAATATGCTCACCTGAACAATATCAGTACCATGACAACACCAGTTGACATGACAATGTGGGTGAGAGATAAATAACTATAGGTAATTAATGGCTGCTCAAAAAGGGAGAGTCGGTCATTTAGACAGATGAGTCCCCATTAGATTATCCAATCCCAAACTGTCAGTCATAAACATGCACATTTGAAAAACACTAAATGGATTCAGTAGCATAGATATAGATATAGATATAGATATAGATATAGATATAGATATAGATATATACACATATATATGCATGTGTGTTTCATAGATATATATGTCTGTAATAATAAAATTCTCATGAATTTGAGAGGGGTTGGAAAGACACAGGAGAAATTGAAGGAAAGAAAAGAGAATAGAAATTATATAAATAAAAACTCATTTGTTTTTTGTTTTTTGTTTTTTGTGTGTGGTTTTTCCAGACAGGGTTTTTCTGTTTGGAGTCTGTCCTGGAACTCACTTTGTAGACCAGATAGGCCTCAAAGTCACAGAGATGCACCTGCCTCTATCTCCTGAGTGCTGGAATTAAAGGCATGTGCCATCACCACCTGGCTAAAACACTCATTTATTAAATCATCCAAAAAATGCAACCCTTTGCTATGAGCTCATCTATAATCCTCATCAGTATTAAAACCATCCTCAACTTTTCCCAGAAAAGCATGACTACACCTTTGTCAAGTCTTCAAAGTGCAAATGTTTACTTGGGGTCTTACTTGTTACAGCCACCTGGCCTGCTGTCAGAAGGGCCCACCACAGTGTCCATGAATGTGGCAACGTTGGAAAATCCTGCCGGCAACTCATCCCATTCATCAAATTTGATGCCACTGCCCAAGGAGTAGGTGCCTTCAACACACTTACTGCATACCTGGTTCTTCATTTCTAGATACTCTCCAGAGGCACAGGAAAAAGCTGCAAGGCAGAAGAAGGGACAGCCCATTAGTCTTTGGCCTCTTCCATTAACCATCTATCCTTCATATTGTCCCCAGGGTTATTTTTACAAAACCCTAAGGAAAGCCTTCCAATGTCCTCACTGATGCAGTCTCCACTCCACAATCTGCCTCGACCTATTTTACACTACTCGTCATTTTCTCCACTCCCTTTTGATCAAAACGAAATGCATATTAATCCTCTCTTCTGCTACTGCTACTGTGGCTTTTTTTTCCAGATGTTGGACAAATGACCTTCTCTATTTGGATAATGTCAGTTCCTATGTAAAAATGACCATATTCATGACAAATTCCCCCCATTCATCCCAGACTGTCATCGGTGCCTCCTCCATGCCTGAGCAGTCCACTTTCCACAGCTCCTCCAGTAAGGTGCATATAAACCACTGAAAGGGAAGTGCTACTTTTTCTCCACAGGAGCAGGAGTCATTATTCTAGGATCCCTCGTTGTACCTAGCATATGCTAAGTCCAAATGAAATGTTGATCCAGTGAAGAACAACACAGAAAGGGGAAACGGGAGAACAGTGTAGTAGTTAAGCAAGTTATTCCCACTCTGAAGCCTCTTCAACATCTCCCACCTTTTCCTTATTCACAAGAGCAACCTGGCCATTTATTTCAACCTCATCCCGAGTAAAACCAAGTCTGCTGCCTTTTAAAGAGCTAGGTCAAGCCGGTAGTTCTGCTAAGTTATTATTCATTCAATAAATGCAAATTAATGTTTCCAAAGCACACGGCCCTGTGTGGGGTGGAATTAGAGCCGAGGCCAGGAGAGGGGCTATCTAATCCCTTAATCAGTACATTAAAGGAATAAGAACAAAATAAAATGTCCAAATTAACTGATGAAAAGAAATCTCCCAGCCCAGTGAGGCAGTAACGCCTCACAGGCAGGAACACGCCTCTTTTAATACAGTGGAGGACTTAAACAGAAATAAAAACAAGCTGTCTTTAAAAAAAAAATAACAACTAATTAAAGAATTAGAGCTCAAACCCACTCATCCACCTACTCATCCACTAAACTAATGGAATGAATCTCTTTAGAAAAGCTTAATAATGTTCTTCAGTGAGCCTGCAACGTTCAAACCAATGTCCTGAAATCAGGAAAACAACAGGGTATCCGAAAAGGGCAGGAGAAGAATATTGCACACCAACTACAAGATCAAACTTATCCCGGAGATGGGGAAGGAAGATCATCTTGGAACAAGGTTGTTACACTGCCTCTTAATTTTGTGACACTGAACACATTCATCATCTCTCCGGGCTTTTGTTTCTGAGAGAGGTGCCACAGTAGCTGCCACGCAGGCTTAGGTTAAGAAAAGAGAATAGAGCACAATGTGCCCATAACTGCCCTCTCACACATGCTCACCAGTATAGCAACAACCAGAAAAGAAACAGTTAAGGAACACTGTTTCTTTTAATTTCAGTAGAGTTAAAGGTCTTTTTTTTTCCTTTTCTTTTTTATCTTCCATTTTTATTTAAAAAATATGTTTTTATTTTACATACCAACCCCCGTCCCCCCTCCCTCCCCTTCTCCTGCCCTCCCCATCTCACTCTACCCATTCACTCCTCAGAGGGGGTAAGGCCTCCGCCCCCCAACCCCAATCAAGGCTGAGCAAGGTATTCCACCATAGGGAATAGGTTCCAAGAGGCCAGTTTACACACCTGGTATAGGTCCTGGTGCCACTGACAGGGCTTCCCCACTCCAACACATCAAGCCACATGAGTGTTACCCACATTCAGAGGGCCCAGTTCAGTCCCATTCAGGTTCTCTAGGAAAATCCAAATCTAACAACAGTCCCCTAATATAATAACTAATATCATCAACAACAAAACGCTTCAAATTATCTTGGAAGACAATTTAGTCTGAAATCAAATATTGATGTTTTAAATTGCTTAACCATTAATAAAGATGTTTTATTTCACCTTGCAGTATATAATCCATCATGAAGAGAAGTTTAGGGAAGGAACCCAAGGCAGGAAAATGGAGGAAAGAGCTGAAGCACAGACCATGGAAGAATGCTGCTTATTGGCTTGCTCCCCATGGTTTGCTCCATTTGCTTCCTTGTAGAACCCAGAATCACCAGCCCAAGAATGAAACCATTCATAGTGGGATGAGACCTTCCACATTAGTCAGTAATTAAGAAAGTGGTTCAGAGGTATGCCTACAGTCCAATCTGATGGAAGCAATTCTTCATTTGAGGTTTCTCTTTCTAGATGGCCGTAGCTTCCTCCAAGCTGTCAATTATTGTGAATGCACTAAGTATATGGATTTGAGGGTTATGAATAAATTATGCAAATACAGAACCCTTAAATCGTGAGTATTGACTATATTTATAATAGACACATGAAATAGGAAGCTATTATGTACATATTTTAGGTAAGAAAATACTGAGCTACAGTATATTTAAATAACCTGATTACCCCCAATCAGCAGACAGCACAAATAACAGAGACTAGCTTTCTTGGTTCTAAAAGCACTATCCTACTTTAAAGAAAACACAATTGAACCAATTACCAGTGCCCAAAGGAGAAACAATTCTAACTAATTCAACAATATCTTTCACCTCACCTTTCATTCCCTGTCAGCAGTTAAGTAATGTTCATCTGTACCATAAAATAATATTTAATTAGTTCTACATTTTTCATATGTTAAACTCTTCACTCTCATATTAGTTCTAAGTTTTTCATATGTTAAACTGAAAACATGAATTTTAGAACTATTTTAGCAAGCACCTAACTTCTGTAAGTCTAATAACTTTGTTTATGAATAGAAGATAAAAGTGACATCCATCTCAAAAAAAAAATCTATGGGAATAGGTGATTGGAGCATTGTTCAGTACACCTGGTATATGTCACAAACAATTGTATTGAACACTACTCATATCAGGAGCATGTAGATAATAACACTGCCACTAGGTTGATGATGCTTTGTCTCTACAAAACAACTATTTAGTATAGTTCAATGGGTATGGACCTTTAACAATACAGAAAAGCTAAAATGTACTAAAGTACTTCTTTTAATGGTTTGCTTCTATTCTGCCTTCCTTTCATCCTGATAGGCAAAAGTTAAAGGAAGTGCTGCATGATCTGGTTAAAATTTAATTGATTTCACAAAACTATAGCAATGCCTACCTCTACTAGTAGTCACAAGCATCTCCTTTTTTGATGCTTTCTCTAAAAGCATCATTCACTTTCTCTCTCGACACTGATCTTAGCATTCAGGTTTTAGTGTGGTCTACAACTACATTCTTCTTTTGTGGTTATTTGTTTGTCTGTTAGTATAACACAGGATACTTTAACTAGGCAGGGTAGTGGAGACTTTTTCTAGACATTAACTGCTGTGTGGATTGGCTATATTGCATTTTAATTAATTGGTGATTTCTAAAGTAAGAAATAGCTTTTTTAAACAACCTTGAATAACTGAATGAAACTGACAACTAGCAACCACTGGAGCTTTGGTAGAAGGGCTATGTTAGGTTTTCATTGCTTGGACAAAATACCTAAGCAAAATAAATTAAAGAACCATGGTTTCATTTTGGCTCACTTTCACAAATTTTGGTCCATGGCAGGACAGAGTTTGTCACATCATGGTGGCTAATAACAGAAAGAAAGCCTGCACTCACTGGTTTTCACTTTTCTCTCTTATTACTCCATCGGGGCCTCCCTGTTCCCCCCCCCCCACCTATTGATAGATGCTAACCACATTAGGTTAAGTCTTATCTCTTCACTTAATTCTCTCTGGAAATACCCTCACAGTTACAGCCAGAATTGCTCTTGGCTAATCTGCTAGGAGCTTCTCAATTCAATCACACTGAGAAGAATATGTAGCAGAGAGACAGACAGCAGACAGACAGACAGACAGACAGACAGACAGACAGACAGAGACAGAGAGATATATAGACACAGAGAGACAGAGACAGATTGAAGACAGAGACAGACAGACCAAGAAAGACAGAAACAGACAGACAGACAGACAGACAGACAGAAATAGAGACAGAAAGACAGACAACTTCATGTCTAAGGTTGGCACTGTTTAGTGGTGGCCTCAATCTGGGCTTTCACAGTACTTTACCACAGCTGCAACTGGAAGAGAGATATTTAAACTCAACCTCCTAAAGTCCAGGCTGAACCAAGAGGCCCTGCACTCCTCTTCACTCTTCTTCTTGGCTCTCTGACTCTGCTTTCCTGACATCTGTTTCTATAACTATAAATCTGAAAGGGCTCAAATACACAAGTGAAAAGAACCAGATATAGGAAACACTGTATTAGTGCATCACCAGGTAAAAAGGACATGGGCAGCTTTCTTGACCCTAGAAGTTTCTATTCTTACTTTCCACTGGGAACATCCTATCCTCTTCCTCTTTGTAGGTGTGCTTACAGGGACTCCATAAGAGACCATGAAAAGTAGAGTCTTTGTGGGAAATAGAGCGTGATATAAAAAGTCAAGACATTAGAGTGGTCATGCAAGTACAACGTGCCAAGGAACAGTTATTAAATCGAATTGTTTAAATGCTGACTATTCTCTCTGATTTATGTATATCAATAAAAAGTCTATTTTAAAACTGTTTCATCACAGAAACTCTTGATTTTAGTTTTTTCTCTATCTAGAGATCTCATGTATTAAAAGACTATGGCTATAAATTACATGTATTCATAATTCATTTATTTTTGCTCCTTTCCTTGCAATTATTTAATTACTTAATTGTATTTTCTGGACAATAAACAGCAGTAAGAGTAATCTTAAAAGAATTTTAAATTTGCTTGTTCAGTGAGATGTTCACAAGATAATGAGTCTATGTAATCTTATTACAGATATCACTATAATAAAATTAATTTAAGCAGCAAGTACTTTTTAGTATTTAGCATTTGACAGACAACAATTAGGCACCAGGAATGTGGTAGCAAATAGGAAGATAGAATTAATTCTGTCTCTATGCTCACAGAGCTGCT